ATAAGGTATACACTCTCTTTTAAAAATCAAATGTGGGAAACTTCCTATTAACTTCAAATGAAACTGAGATGTCAGAAATAGAGAGGGACTAAGAATCCTAGTGGGCCTCCCCGGGATTGTCTGGGCTCAAGAGTTTAGCTTTATCAAAAATCGAATTAGGTACATTGCCAAATATCAGTATGTGTTAATGTGGAAAAATGACATGTCAGATCTTGACATATGTAACATTTTATAGAGCATATATATTTTGTACAAATATACAAATGACTGAGAAACCAAATCCAAAGGTATTGTTACAGATGGCTGTGGTGGTTTAAAACTTCACAGGCCAAAATGAAACTAGGAATGCAGTCTTTTACTCCTCTTGTTCTGACTGTGTGCCTTCTCACACTTCTTTTTAAAGTGTTCTGCTTTCCATCCTTCTCAGTGGGGCCTTCCCTTTAAAGTCTGTATCTCCCAACTGCTTTTACGTTGTTAGAGAAAGGAAGGGGAGGGCTTGAACCCTAATAGTTTTCTCTGGATGGAAAGCTGAGGTGGCTGGATCCCACCCCTCAAGTCTTTTCCTTCCATGATTCAGTAGCAGGTAAGTGAGATGAAGTGTCTAGATTCCTCTTTGCATAAGCTTATCTGGAAAATTTGCCATTAATAAGGTATTTTGATAAACGAAATGAACTGACAGGGCTGGATCACTTAAAATCAATTTTTTTAAAAAAAATATACAATGTCTATTTTGTAATAGAGACCTTAGTAAGGTAAGGTTTAAAAAAATTTTTTTTTTCTGAAAGAATTTTTAAATATTACAAAATATCCTGTAAATCACCACCTGCAGCTCTGCACATTGACCACAAGGTGGCGGGCCAACTCCATTAAAAAGATGATGTTAAACATTCCAGTCCTGTATCAAACCTCGGGTGGTTCTTGGAAATAAGTAACGGCATGTTGCATAATTCATTTCTATGTTTGTAATTTTTATAGAACATAAAAACTGTATATCGAGCTATCATTTCATTACAAAAACCATGGGTGTGGAGCAAGGACAGAACCAGGGATGCAGAGAGAATTCCAAACTCACTACAGAAGGGCGGTTCTTAGCCCATTATCTTCCAGAGGGTTGGGAACAGATCGCATGACTAAACTTCATCCCCTTCTCCATCCTTTGGTTTTCCCCTATTAGAGGTGCTGGTGAATAACGACATCTTTAACTGGCTGTGGGGGAAGAGGTCTGGCTAGGTCATCAAGGCATCACCGGCCTGAACTATTGAATTTAACAAGCCCAACGTTACCTGAGCACCAACAGCTGACTGTTTCTTGTAGTTTCAGTTTAAAGCTGCTCAGACAAGAGCAATGGGAGACTGTGGGCTCTTGGAGAGCAGGAATCTGATGACCTTTCATAACATAAAGTGTGGGTGTCCATATCTATTTATAGAATGGAGTGAGTGTCCATTTCATACCAGGCAGGTATGTGGATATAGCATTGAACACACAGGTGAAATCTTGCTATTCATTGCCTGACCTTCTAGCGAGAAAAGACAGACAATAAATGAATAGACAATTGTTCTATTCAACTCTGGAAACCAGAAAACCTCATTAGCCACATGTGCCCTTCATGTGTGCGTAGAGAGACCCCATCCCCAGGGGCAGGTGGTGCCTCATCGTATCATTTATGGCCTCTGCTGTGGTGGTTCTATGAGCATGGAGGGCCCAGGGAACTCGGAGAGGTAGGATCTGGAGCAGGTCAGCTAAGTGCTCCCCTTTGGGCTGCCTCTGGGTCTGGTTCCTTCTGCCCACTACTGGCTGTTGGGCTCTGTGAATCTCAAACATTGAGACAGGGAGCTAGAGACCAGGCATGATGCTCTCTCGCTTCTAGATCCAGAATGCTAGGGGCCAGTTTGGTCTGGGAGACAACTTCACTGGGCACAAGAGAGCTCGATTTACAGTGGTTTGTGATGGCAAATCTTGTCTCTTACCGAGAGTGTGCAGTGTTTCCTTGCCATCATCCCTTGTAGTTTTAGGGGATGGTTGGGCGGAAGGATGGCTTGCATCTCAAATACCAAGTTTGCACAGAGGGGGCTTCCATTACGTGATTGTTAGTTCTCTAGGCTTTGATTTCTGGGGGGAGATGGAGTCACCCACCATAGAAGAGCTCAGAGAGAGTGAAGAGATTTACCCGAGGCCATACATTTGGGAACACTACAGAGCAGCTCTTCAAAAGTGGAGTGATTATTCATTTTCTTATGCTTTTGTGTATTTTAGGAGGAATATAGAAGTTTTCCAGGTTCCTCTCAGTCAGAGGTGAGTTATGCATACCTTAAACACACCACCATCCTCTCTTCTTTTGTGGATATAAATGCTTTTTCCAGAATTTGACACTTAGGATCTTATTTTTCAGATTATACAAGCGATACAGAATTTAACCCGTCTCTTATACAGCCTTCAGGTAACTACGCTCCTCTCATGTTTGACCCTGTGCATGTTTCTCTCAATGCACTTCACTTTATTTGATGATTCCCAGACTTTAAAAACCAGAACATTTGTGAGGCTCTGTGGTCCTCACAAATGATCTTACAAGAGTGCCAGCCCCCACTGTAACTCAGCGAGGTGTGTTGGACTTCACCTGGTTTTGTAATCACAGGGCAACACCACTACTACATTTTATACCATTCTCTTCTGAAACCATAAAACAGTTCATATCTTTAAAAAATACTGATGACTATGACCTGGCTTGAAGTCTACAGTGAAACTCCTGGGTGAGTGTAGCAGACTTCACATTTTCTGCTGAAAACTTAAATTCACACCTAAACATTTTTCACTTCCACATGTTGGCCTTGGGCCTTTAGAGCAGTTAAATAATTCATATGCTGCTGCGTTCTTTGGTTTGTTCATCCACCCAACATGTACTGAGTGCTCTCGCTGTGCCGGCACACGAAGGCAGAAGGACCACAGAGCCTGCTGTCAGGTGACGTGCCGTCTGTCCGGGAAGGACAGACATAGCATCGTGCTTGCGTTGAGAATTATAGGTTTGGATGGTCTCTTAGGGCACACACAAGAAAGGCTGAATGCATCTAATTGCTAAATTTGTGAATTAAAAAAATATTTTAAAATGATAGAAAAGCAGTGGTTGTATTGTACATAAATTTGTAGGATAATTTGTAGGATACAAATAAAATAACTTGTGATTCTACGGGCAGAATTACTAATGTCATGTTGGTGTGTATCCCTCCTGTTTCTTAGAATCATTTCACATAGAGTCTTGCAACATGTACCTTTCTGTGTCATCAGTGGTTATTCTATAGCACAGTTTTTATGGTTACATAATGTTCCAGTCTATTAAAGCTGTTTACCCAGTTCCTCATAATTAATACATTTGTATTAACAACACTCTAGTATTATCCTTATACACTAATTTCTTTGAAGATATCTGAGTGTTTCCTTAGGGAAATTACTGGGGCATTTTCTTTAGTTTTTTAATAGACCTTGTCAAAGTAATTAATCAATACCCCTCTCTACTTCTCAGTTTGAAAATTGGTCAAGGTATCAGATTATCTTAATGTAAATTGTTTGGGTGACTGTTAAGATTAAACATTTTTCCTACTGGCTTGTTGCCAGTCATACTTCCTATCTCATAGCTGTTGAATATGAAAAGAAAAGAAAATTGTCTGATTTTAAGTTTTCACCAGAAAACAAAAATAAAGTCATGCTACATTTGACTTTTTCTTATTTGTCCTTCAACTGCATCAGGACTTCTTTCTCTCATGTTCCATTGATCATCTACCGATTCTTGCTCTGTGCCACTGTCTTACATTTACATATATGACAGTGCCAGTTTCCTGTTATTACTTTCTATGCTTATCTGTATGTTTTTTCATAAAGAGTTTTTGAATGACTAACAAGTTTTTTTCCTTTCTACTGAGATTGTTTAATTAAAATCTCATTATACAGGGTGGGGCAAAAGTAGGTTTACTGTTCTGAGTACTCAAAACAGTTTATTCTTGTATTATTACTTATTCTTGTATTATTTTCCATACAAATCTACTTTTGCCCCACCCTGTATTTATGAATTCAATTATGGAGAATTGGCAATTTTGCAATAATTAGTACTCATGTCTTTGAACATGTTAGTCATCTCTTATTTCATGCTCTGCTGGGAAGCTTTGTGATTATCTTCAAGTAGATACTGTTTGTTTGTTTTTCTGCTAAGTTTATTTCTAGATGTTTGTCTCGTTGTTCCTATTGTGAAAGGAATATTTTTTTTATGCTTCCCCAGTGGTGGTTGCTGATAAGAAGGGTCTTGATTTTTGTATGTTTATTTTGTAACTGGCCATTCATTGAATTTTATATTTTAATTAAAGGCCCGGCGCACGAAATTTGTGCAGGGGTGGGGGGGAAGTCCCCTCAGCCCAACCTGCACCCTCTCCAATCCGGGACCCCTCGGGGGATGTCTGACTGCCGGTTTAGGCCTGATCCCGGGGATCGGGCCTAAACCAGCAGTTGGACATCCCTCTCACAATCCGGGACCACTGGCTCCTAACTGCTCATCTGCCTGCTTGTCTGATTGCCCCTAACAGCCCCTGCCTGCCAGCCTGATTGCCCCTAACTGCCCCCCCTTCTGGCCTGGTTGCCCCTAACTGCCCCCCCGCCAGCCTGGTCGCCCTTCACTGCCCCCCCTTCTGGCCTGGTCACCCCTAACTGCCC